TTATTCACACATACTGCAAGTGGAAATGTGAATAAAATCTTCTAAAGTAAAAATATTATAGTGGGCCATAGAATTTGCCTCTTTTTTTTCAAGTTAAAATGGTCAAACAGTTAACAATGTCATGTAGTTCAACCAATATATATATACTGTACAACCTAGAGGAATAAAAACACAATTCCCTAAGGATGTTTATTTTAGAAACACTGTTTTTTTAGTGACTAAAAAAGAAAAAAGGAGGACCGGCTCAGTTGGTTAAGAGCTCGCTCAAGAGTTTGAGCTCTGAGCAACAGAGGTTCGAGTCCCAGCCTGAGCTGAGCAGCCGCTGAGCTGCCAACAGGTAGCAGGATGGCTCAGCTAAAAGAAAAATAATAATTTTTTTTAAATGGTAAAAATATCAAAGATTTGAATGTTTATTTCTGCCAGAAATGTGGGGAAAGGTTATTCACACATACTGCAAGTGGAAATGTGAATAAAATCTTCTAAAGTAAAAATATTATAGTGGGCCATAGAATTTGCCTCTTTTTTTTCAAGTTAAAATGGTCAAACAGTTAACAATGTCATGTAGTTCAACCAATATATATATACTGTACAACCTAGAGGAATAAAAACACAATTCCCTAAGGATGTTTATTTTAGAAACACTGTTTTTTTAGTGACTAAAAAAGAAAAAAGGAGGACCGGCTCAGTTGGTTAAGAGCTCGCTCAAGAGTTTGAGCTCTGAGCAACAGTGGTTCGATGCCCAGCCCGAGCTGAGCTGCTGCTGAGCTGCCAACAGGTGGCAGGATGGCTCAGCTAAAATAAAATAAAATAAAATAAAATAAAATAAAATAAAATAAAATAAAATAAAATAAATAAATAAAAAGAAAAAAGGGAATAAAGTAATGTCCATTAAAGGGGGAGTCCCAAAATAATACTGCAGTACATTGGTAATATTCATGGACTATATAGTCATGAAAAATTAAACTAGTGGGGGGAGAAAAAAGTATTCAAAAGAAGTATACAAAAAGTATACACTATAAAAAGTGTAACCACATTCATACATTTAAGTAAAAGAATAGGTGTGATAAAAAAATACAGTGATTGTTTAAATTAAAAATAATTATTACAGTAAAAGGCACATTGCCATCAATCCCCCTCAAAATACTCCCCTTCCCCTTGCTTCAAACACACTTATCCCACTGTTCTTGCCACTTTCTGAAGCAGATCTGAAAGTCCTCTTTCGTGAGTGTCTTTAGTTTTGCTGTTGTGGCTGCCTCGATGTCCTGAATGGATTCAAAATGTTTTCCTTTCGTTGTCATTTAGACTGAGGAAGAGCCAGAAGTTGCACAGTGCCAGATCTGGTGAATAAGGTGGATGAGGACACACCATAATGTTTTTTATTTGACAGAAATTGCTGTACCAGAAGTGATGTGTGACATGGAGCCTTTCCGTTGTGATCACAAAACATGGTGAATGCTGCTGCCGAGTGCCATCCAATGGAAAGGCAGGGATCTTCAATATGGGGAGCAGGGTGTCAAACCTTAGTGCCAGTGTGTGACGAGTTTCAGCTGGTTCGCTGCAGTCAGTCGGGTGTGAGCTACAGTTGACAGAAGGTGTGTTTTAAAGTGTGCCATAAATCATCCTCCATCATGTCAACACTCCGTGTCACACAATGATTCTGGTATGGCAATTTCTGTCAAAAACATCACGGTGTGTCCTCATCCACCTTATTTACCAGGCGACTTCTGGCTCTTCCCCAAATGTCAAATGATTCAGGACATCGAGGCAGCCACAACAGCACAACTAAAGACACTCACGAAAGAGGACTTCCAGAACTGCTTCAGGAAGTGGCCAGAACGATGGGATAAGTGTGTTTGGAGCTAGGGAGAGTATTTTGAGGGGGTTTAATGGCAATGTGTCTTTTACTGTAATACATTTTTTTCATTTGAACATTCACCGTATTGTTTGATCACACCTCGTATGTGTACATGTGTAAAGAAGAAAAAACATTTTTGTTATTGTTAGTTTTGCTTTTCACCTTATGGACTCTAAATAACTTTGTTACTAACCACCCACAAATTCAAAGGGCTGCATATTCCTTGACTCCCACTCCTTGCCATTTCCAGCTCTGAGAAGACTAAAACTAAGAACAGTCTTTAAACTTCCAACACTTGACCTTCCTGTGTCCTCTCTCCTATTTCTCACTGATTTTTCTTCCTGCCCTAAGTACAGTTGACTTCTTTTCAGCTTTCTAATCTTCACTCTACTCTCCCACTAAGGATCTCATCCACTCGGAAGAATTAGAAAACTACCATTTCTCCCATTATGTGCCACTCTATAACACATCCCCTAACCCGTTCCACTCCAAACGTTCCAGCTGATGTGCAAATCCTTTCAGAATTTCATAACTCAGCATTATCTGAGGGCAATTTATGTCTTAGGCCCTCCTCTTGCCAATAACTATCACTGATTCTACTATTCACCACACTTTAAACTTTAGTATCGTGTTGGATTTAACTTCCTATTTCAGCTTTTACCTGCAATCTTTTAGATTCTATCTTCTATTACCTATACAATATACCACTTTCAGCCATGCCTTCCTTTCTACAGTTCCTATCACCTGTACTAGTACAATGCCTCAAAGTCTCCTAGACTCCTCCTGGACATAAAACATAACTCTGATTATGTCACACATATTTATTGCTATCTATTAGCTTCCACATTCACTCTAAACTATTTAGCCAGGTTTATCTGCTCCAGTCTATAGTCTCAAAGTATCTATCTAGCCACACAGCACTTTCCTTGAATGTCTCTACTCTTCAGATGAATACAGATGTTCCTTGACTTACGATAGCATTATGTTCTGATAAACCCATCATTAAGTTGAAAATACCATGCGTTGAAAATGCATTTTAATACACCTAACGTAGTGAACATCAGATCTTAGCCTAGCATGTGTTCAGAATACTCTCATTATCCTACAGCTGGGCAAAATCATCTCACTGCTGCTGCCCAGCATCACAAGAGTTATCATGCCACATATATAAGGGAAAAGATCAAAATTGAAATTTCAAAGTACAGTTTCTACTGAATGCATATTGCTTTCACACCATTGTAAAGTCAAAAAACTTAAAGTTGAACAATTATAAATTGGGGACCACCTGTATATTTGTATCATTCTAACATCCTGCACATCACCACATTCCTGCTTTTAGTTCTTTGTTCCAACTACAAGTGTCGAAATTCTTCTATTCTTCAACTGTCATCTATGAAGCTTATTCAAATACCAACATTAAAGATGGTTGGTACTTTCCTCCTGTATCCCAAAGCACAGCGATTTCACTCTTTGCAAAACAGGGAAGTAGTAAAAAGATTATGAGACTTTAAATCAGAATGTTGAAGTTTTCTTTCAAATGTTATTGCTTTTGACATTAAGACACTAAATCAAGTCATTTTTCCTTCCCTGAGCCCCAGATTCTTGTTCTGTAAAACAGAAATAAAAGCTAATCTACAAACCTCACAGGTAGGTAGAAATAGATGGAAAACCAGTTTGTAATCTAAGTGTTAAAACTGTTATTATATCACCTTTTATTATGCAAATTTGTGTTTTGAACTGCTATGAAATTATAAGCATTTAAGAGGCAGTCTGCTCTTTAACAGTCTAGCACTCAACACATAGTAGCTAATCAAATAAATTCTTAAAACCTTCATAAATCATAAAATATAGCTCTCATGCTCAATCCTAAGAAATATAATCCAAGCACAGTTTATATATAGCTATACCTTGATCAAAATAAAACCTTTACAACCCTTCTCCCCACAGATATCTTTTTAGAAAAACTGTTTATGCATTAATATTCTAGACCTCTGATTTCATTCACCTAAAACATAACTCATTAACTGGCAGGTGAATAGGGGGTTTAAAATGGCTGATAAATATCTTAATAGTCAAAGAATTCCAAAAACTTATACATGACGCAAAGCATCTGTGTGACTGTGATGATGGTACCTTTTCCAATCCAACAAATTTATCCAATATTCATAGTTGAGCATTAGTGCTTTAGTTTACCCTAACATTCAAAAATTCTAAAGGTTGACATAATGGTTATTTTAGTGATGTAAAACAACAGGTTTTTTTTAAAGTAAATATATAAGAGAAGGATGTTAACTTTCATTAAGCTGAAAATTTTTGTTTTTTCTTACTTGTTTACAAAAGCAAAATTAATTATCAATGATGTTTATAAAAATTGTAAAAACATGGAAGGGGGAGTGAAATGATACTTTGGTCCTACAGAAATCTGGAAATCATAAACTTAATACGAGAACTTGAAAGTTCTGGAGTTACCCTTGAAAACTACATGTGTCCATAATATCTTGTTAAACCAGAAAGCAAGAAGGCTATCTAAAACTACAAGGGTCTTGTCTAAAGAACATAGCAACTATAACTTAAAGAAAAAAACCCTCACTAGCCGAAAATGGGACAATTTGAGCATCGATACAGAAAATAACTCTATAATCTAAAACACAAATGTTGTTCAATCCATGAGGTCACAAGATAAACCATTTTTATTGCAATTATGTCACACTGTTGGCTAGTATTTCTTGGCATTTTGTTATTTCACAAAAAAAACTGCTCTCCTACTAGTATATCTGCTCTTAGGTATCTTATCCACAGTCTTGCACTTACTTGTAATTCATTTTTAAATCTAAACTTAAGGCTTTTCAAATCATTCCTATTATACATTTTAATCTACTATTGCTATAGTGCCTAGTAAGGCTACAATAGTTACTGATAAGAAACCTTCTAAGAGCTTAATTCTTAAAAATAATGGTCAAATGCCAAGAAGTAGCAGCAAAAATAAAAAGTCATCAGTAGTTGGGACTATGTTATGGATTAAAATAGGTAAGGGTAAAAATAAAAACGAAAATGAAAAGTTAGACAGGGATGATGAACAGCAGTTGATGAGGAGCAAATCACTTTGTGTGTGTTCATTTAAAAAAAACAACAACAAAAAGCTCACCCCGTAAGTGATGTTGCTGAGTCCCATAAGCAAACATCAGGCAGCATGATGTGATAGACCTGGACTGAGTCAGGAGACCTCTGTTCTAGTCCAAGGCCTCAGTCTCCTCATCTGTAAAATGAGGATGCTGAATTAGATCATCTGAAAGAGCTGCCCTAGCTTTAACATTGAGGGAGTCTACGGATGAATTTAGGAAGCAATAAAATGTAGGGCTTTCATTAACAGCGAAGTTTAAAGGTTCACATTGGAAATACCAGTTGGAAACAGAAAATAATTTTCTTAGAATTTTGAACTGCTAAAAGCAATTACTTTTATAACTTGTAACTGCTGGTAAGATTTTTATATATACCAGCCTTAGTAGCAATATCATCTAAACTAGATTAGTAATGAGTGACCAAATTATGACCTAAAAAAATCTATTGACCTTTGGCCAGTAAATCTAAAAAATAAGTACAGGAACACCACTGGGCTAGAAATAACTTCGCATGATAAAGTGTCTCATAACTGTCCTCAGTTAAGTAACTTGAACAAAGAGTAAAATGACAAGAGAAATGATTAGAGTAAATTAAACAATTATTTAACTTTAATATGCAATAAAACAATAATTATGCTTGCGATATCCTTCTTTGTTAATGAGTGTGTCTTACCTATGCAATAACTTTTTTCTGGTTAGCTCTCAAAATAGAACATGAATTCTCTTTCTGACAACAGTCTAATTGAAAGGAATGACTTTTTTTTCTCAGTGACGCATAGAAACATAAAAAAAGAGTGTCTTTGTGTTCAATTTTCTATATTGAAAGAAATCAAGCTTCTATCAGTAACAAATAATGGCAAGGCTATGATGACTCAAAAAATGGTGGTTTTCTGACTGTAATTTACTAAATACAATTAACTGCTTTGTCCCAGCTAATCCTCCAAGGTCTAAGAAACTGAATTGTAAGTTTTAAGTTCATAGGTCAGCTGACATTCTAATTTATATTTATTTTTCGCTTATGTTGATGCTATGGTTCTTACCTGGCAGATTTAAAACTCCAGGGACATAAGAACCAATAAACATATCCTTACAATCAAAAATCTACTCTTCTAAAGCATGCAATCTCTATCGTTAAAAGACATGAAGATATAAGCAAACATTCAATGAAGAAAAAAAAACCTTTTTGTAGTTTGTTTTATGCACATTACCTAAGGAATTATAAAATAACTTGGCATCCATACAATTCCATTAATTATTCACTTGAACATTTCACCTGGGCAATATAGTACCTGATATGTTATTCAGAATCACTAATAAAATGTCTCCCTGGTTGGTAGAAACAAAGGCAACAATAAAGCAGTCTTGATGGTAATGAATTTTGATTTTAGATAGTCTTAAAATGGCTGTGATAGAATTCTGTGTGTCTGACATAGAAAATCTGTGAAACAAAAATTTCCTTTATATTGAATACATTTGGCATTTTAATGTGAGCATTTTGTTTTACAATCCTAATGAGCTGATTAAAATAAGCCTAAGCTTAATGGTAAACAACAGAAATCAGGATGTATAAGCAAAGCAAACTTTAAAGCTGCTTTGAGCATCAACTATTCTCAGCAATTTTCTCCATCTCCACCTACCTCCCCCATAACGTTTTCAAAAAGACTTAAACATTAAGCTTATTTATTGATAAAAATACTATTATTAATAAGATACAATAAGCAGTACTAATAAGATACAATAAGCAGTATTGTATTTAGCCACTACTGTACAGATGTAAAACAGCGCCTGTGAAAATTTAGGACTAAACAACTGTCTTGGGTAAAATATTCTCCTCTAAGATGGCGGTGGCACCAAGACCAGCAGTTAAAGGGATACGTGATGTTTAAATAACTAGTTGGTATGTCATGTGAAACCCATTGGATTGTCCCTCACTAAATTTCTATCTATAGAACATAAACACCTTTACAATTCTGTCCACCACTTAAATAATAAGTTAGCACACGATTTTCTCAAAGACCATGATATCTCACTTAGATATCAATAATAAAGAATTCTTGGAACAATATAAATAGCTAGAGTTGGGCACAACATAGCACATTTGCTTTGTGGAAGTTACAATACCTAGAAAAATGGTAACTCCTTTTTTATTGCAATACAGTTGAAAGATAAAAAGATAAAAAATAAGTCCAAATCTGGCTATTTTGGGTCACTAGGAAAATATGAAGACATTATAACATCAAGTAATTATATATAACTTTTTATTTCCTAAAATATATTTAATAACTGCTTAGCTTTGTTGGAAGTTCTCATTTCAGGACTGGGGAAGAAAAAATTGTCAATATAAAAGCTGAAAGGATCAAATTAATGGTTAAAAACACCACATCTCATAATTACAACTTGTATTTTAATATTAATATTTTATTTTTCTCTCATCTTCACCCACTTAAAATTTATTCTGATATAGACATTTTTAAAATACAGCCTATCAGAATAGATTTCCCAAGAATAAGTTAACTGAGGATAAAAAATGAGTTAGTATTTTAATAAAGGTTATACTTAATATCAGGTATTATATTAAAATGTTTTAATAGTACTATACTTCTCTCTCAAAACTTTGTAAAAGAACCACAAAATTCTGGAACAATGATCATTTGCTTTTCGACCCCACAACTCATTAACATACATACTGTTACCATATTCCTAAAATGCAGATTATTTTTAAAAACAAATTCTAATCATACAATCTGGCTAACAATTCTAGCATAAAAATCATACAGCATTCCTTCTTTGAAAAATAATACAAACCATTAAAAAATGTGTCCTAAGCCATACTTCATAAATGACAATTGATCAATTAAAAGAATGGAAAGGGAATCTAATAATTTCCTCTAATAGCATTTTTAAAATTTGTTCAAAATAAGCAACCCTAGGGATTCCATCTTCCAATAATCATACTTGACTCTAAGCATACTCTATGTATCCATTCCCTCCAAATTTATGTATTATAAATTATCTTAATGAGTCTTTGCTATGTCACTTTGAAGTAATCAAATTATTGTGTGGATATGTTTTGTCTTCTCACTTGTATTGTTTATTTATATTTCTATATCTTTCTGCATTCTAAACGGTTCACAGCTCAGTGCACAAAAAATGTCACTGATAAACTATTTTCAAACTTAAAGAAATAATATCAATTTTTATGAAAGCCACTAAAAACAACATATTAACAGGAAACTGCTTTACAGAAATACTACCTACTAGTATCTTTCGAACAATTTATTATGAAAATTTTCAAACATACAGAAAAACTGAAAGAACTATATGTACAGAGAATATCAACACAGCCACCACCAAGACTTTAAAATTAACATTTTTCTTGTATTTGTTTTACCAGATCTATGAATTGATCTTAATTTTTCGAGCATTTCAAAAGAAGTTGTACAGCAGACCTCAATATAATTCCCCCATGGATACTTCAGCTTGCCTATCATGAACTATTATAGTGAAGTATTTAATAGTTTTTCTTTTAAAGAAAATTTACACAAAATACAACGGATACATATTAAGCGCACCATTCAATGAGTTTTGACAAATGCGTATGTACTCAAGTGAGTTCTCTAACAGGATATTGCCATCATGCTAGAAAGTTCCCACATGCCCCTTCCCACATAATCCCTGTCTTCAATACTCAGGCATCCACTTCTAAGCCATGACAACCATTTTTTTTCCCAACTTAAAATTAGTTTTGCCTCTTCCACCCCATCTTTTAGACATAAAATCTACCTGTTTTTAGGTCATCATATAAATGGAATCATGTTATGTCTCGTTTATGAAAGACTATGTTCATTCAGCATAATGTTTCAGAGATTAATACAAGTTGCTGCAGGCATCAACAGTTTGTTCCTTTCCACTGCTCAGTGGTACTGTGTTGTACAAATACACACAGTTTTTTATCTATTCTCTCGACAGACACCTGAGCTGTTTCCAGTTTAGGGGACAGCCCATCCATATTTGGCAAAATTTATACACAGTATCTGGTCCCCTACCTCTGTGGCTCTGGGATTTCTTCCCTGTTTCTCCTGCTGACTCCCTCACTCTGCAGCTGCTGTGGTCGTTCTGAACTGTCTCTGATTCCTCAGGCCAGTAAGACTGCAAACTAGCCAACACAGCCTGCTCTCCGGCAAGACCATCAAGATGGAAAACTCACCCAAAGCCATTCCCTGCTTTTAAGAAACCACTGCAGTCCAGTTTCTACTTGTTTTTGTTTGTTCTAGTGTCCTCATAATGTTTTTTTCAGATGTCGTCCAGAGACTGTGATCCCAGTTTGTGGGGGTAATTTGACAGGAGCCACTACTCCATATTTGAATTATAACTCTCTATTATTCTTCAGAACACACTTGCTGAAGACTATTACTGACATACCTATTTTGGGTGGTGCTTTTTCCCCTCAAAAGCTTGACTAAGCCAGTCCCTTTAAATGAAAAGAGCCAAACTAAACAAGGAGAAGAGGCCTCTGGGAGCTGGAGTATGAAAGCTGGAGAGAAGGAATCCTGTATTTCTGTATATGAACTGACAAAGTCTCAAGTTCATCCCAAGGAGTCTAGGCAGAACACACCCAAAGAGGCAAAGATTTTGATAACTACAGATATGAGCCAGTGCTCAGGTCCCGCACTAATCCTGAATGGTGCATGTGAGGAATAGCCTCAAAGCAGCTTAGCAAAGGCTATGAAAAGTGAACTAACATTAAAACCATTGCTCACACCACAGAGGGTGAAACAGAACTTGCAGACTAAACCTAACCGTGCTGATCACCTGCTTTAATTAGAAGGGAAAAAAAAAATTCTCCCGAGAGGATACAATCGAAATTATTCGACAAACAAAGAATCAGGAAAATCTGACCAATTCTGTCAGAAAAAGACAAAAGCAGATGTCAACCTTGAGATGCTCCAGATATAAAAATTATCAAATAAAAACGTTAAGGCAGCTACTCTACCCACCCATCACAGGGAAAAAATACACACTTGAAATGACGGGAAAGACAAGTTCTCAGAAGTAGAAAGTATAAAAAGAAACAAAAGGAAACTTTATAACTGAAAAATTTGAAGAGAAAAAAGATGACAAGATAATAAATATAGAC